GCAATAGACACTTCCCTGCAGCAGGAGTTTTGAACTGCCAATTATTAACGGCTAACATTCAACTCAAAAAATTGGAAAATTTGTTCTTTGTCACAAGATTCGAGATGAAAAATGAAAAATGAAATTCGCAATATAGAAACTGAATTTACTGGGTGTCTAATCAGAAAGAAGTAGAAAAAGAATGAATATTGAATCTTGAAATCATATTCGTTGGAAATCATTATGCGAAATCATTGCTTATTGTTAGTCCACTCATAAAATTGGTAAATATGTAAAAATGATAAATGCAATGAGACGAACGATGAAATGTCCGCAATATGGTTTTGAATAATCGTTTTAGACTTATTCGATGCGTACATAAGAGATTATATACGTGAATTTGCTCTAAAGTCAGTGACTAGTGCACAATGGAAAGATCACCTATATAAATTCTTCGAACAAAAACATGATATTCTGAACAGTATCGACTTCGATAAGTGGTTCCATGGTACCGGAATGCCACCTGAACAACCCAAGTATGTTGCTGTGGTCATTTCGAAGGATAGAAGGCGATTTGATTGCAATTTCGCATTAGTTAAGGCGGCGATTGACCATAAGAGAAACACTTATCTAAACTATCAATAAATGAGAATTCAGATTTGATACGAAGATGGTTGACGCATGTCAATCGCTAACTAATAGATGGATTCATGGAAGCACGGAAGAAGTGTCAAGTATGAATTCTGATCAATATGACAAGTTGGCTCCTTCTCAAAAAATTGAATTCCTTTCAATGCTTTGGCAGGTTCGATAACCATTATCCTCTCTACGCATTCAAACTATCCATTCATTTTTCTCATTATGACCGAAATGTAAACTGTTCACATGATACTATCAGTGTTCAATGAGCTGTGTCAAACTCAAAAGATGACTTCAAAAGTTATGATTTTAACGTCACTGAATTAGTTTGAATTAACTCTGTCCTGAATGCACTGATCTAAAACATTCACTTTCTTATGTCATCGATAAACAGTGAAAATATTCCATGGAAGTTCATCATCAGCGATTCCAAATGTATATGCACTGTGTTGCAGTCTGTATGAATTCTATATGATTTCAGTACGATGCACCGTTGGAAGAATACAAATTGGAGAAACTGAATGAATTGTATCGTTTGAATGCGACAAGCAACTTTGAAATTCTTTATTTGTTAGTCGATTGAGTTGATGAAATTTTGAACGATTCGATAGCTNACATCAGTGAAGATCATGGACATCATTAGTGTAATGAAAAAACAGACTACAATCCAATCTAAGCAGTATGATGAGAAAAAGATTCAAGCTTTCGATTGAACGAATCTGAATGAATATGCTTATTATAAGAATCAATAAGGAATCAGAATTCAATTACAGTTGGATTCGGCTGGCTATCAAATCACATTGGGAACCAATCATTGAGGTAGCACTGAGTTTCCTCGCTGCTCAAGGACGTATGAAGTACAGCAGACCAGTTTATAAGTGAGTTCAATTGATTTATTCATTTTTATGTTGGTACTGCTTTGAATTTATTATTTACCGTTGCTTCATTCGTTGAATGTTCTTCAAAAACTCGAACATTCAAGAGGCACAATTTCTCCTTGATCAGTTCAAATTTTCCCTTTAGATCAAAGGATTTTTCAATTCTTTGCTTCATACCTCCTATCACCTCCGTTCGATTTTACTCATTTCAACCTCTAATGCCATTCAGTCAAATTACCTTCCATCAGTATTATTATCTTCACTACTCCAGAGTTTTCATCAATCCACTTGCTATTACTACATAAAATCTGGCTAATTTTTCAGAGATCTAGTGTCATGGCCAGCATCACGTGTAATGGCAAGAGATCATTTCCTGAAGAATCGAATTTCAATGCATCCGATAGCCGTTGAAATGATTGCTAAAGATTTACACCTGAGGAATCCATCCATGTCTGTCGCATTTTGATATCGCCAATTACTATTATTGTTATCACTGTTACATTCCTACCATTTACCACTATCATTATCAATACAATGTCATAACTGTTATCATTAACATCACATCTACCGTTTATTACATCAACTTTATTATCAGATTCAATTCTACCACTCACATTGTTATTGTTGTTTTCATCTGTTTAATGAATCTTTATCAGACAACAATTCAAACACAATCAAATTAAAAAATGAAATATATGAAGCATATCAGACCTGACTAAAAATAATCCAAAATATAATCATCAAACGATTGAAAGTCCTTATTCGACGGCATTTAACTACTGAAAATGTGTCGTGATCGTAACCGAACACCACAATCATTTCAACCATCTCCCATCAATCCTAATATTTCCACAACACCAATCAAAATAATTCACAGGTTAATTGCAAACAAAACAGTTATAACATAAAATATTCATTAACTATCCCCATCCTCGTCCCGGCTATTATCATAACATCAATTTTTTGAAATTGCTATGTATACTCACTACACTCAGTTGAATCAGTTTCCTAGCGAAATCCAACCCGTTTACAACATATTTGAACTAACTCACAGCAAAAATGCTCGAAATCAGCACACCGCAAGGCATTATCAAAAAATTTGAATTTATAAATAAACATTGACAAAGAAACCTTGAAATACATTCATTATTGAATAATCCACAAAAGAAACCTTGAAAAAAAAAACGTTCGATCTGAAGATTAACTATAAGGAAAAAATAGGTTAATTACAAAAACTCATTCAAAATTGCCTATCGAAAGACATTTGATGAATGAAGACATCGATAGGCATTGGCAGCTTTTCATTCGACACGCTTGAAAATTTTAAGAAAATATTCGAGTTGAAGAGAACGCAACAACAAATCAAAAACGCTCCATAAGATGAAAAAGATGATCTATTTGACTACTAACAAACACCGGTTGTTCAATGAGATTGTTAATATGAATAGAACAATGAAAACAAATGCATTCTAATTCCTAACTCAAACATAATATTACACAACACTAATTGATAGAATCACTGAACGAAAATTTGATAAAAATTCGACAACATCCAAATCATAATTTTCATTAGAAATAAATAAATATTTACACAATTAGATTCAAAATTGAACTGAAAAGTACACTTTCGCTAAATTCATTCAGAACAATAGTGGTAAACTGTTTGATATGTGTATTCTCTATCACCAACTACGCCTTCATCATAAACGTGCAAAAGCAAAACAATTACTAAACACTGTTTCAAAGCCGGTGTCGAGTTACACTGTTCTGCAGAGCAGCTTTTGAATGCATCCAATGGAACGAAAGATCAATATTAAGCAAACAAAATCCACCCTATTGTTTCAAACTACTCTCAAAAATTTCCTCCAGAATTTACCACTCCTCTCATTCGTTACAACCAAATAAATGAATGAATAAATGATGCAAAGAAATAGAACAGTCTTCAGAATGAGATGACCAAATCAAAGTTTTGTTAAGAGCAGAAGCGCGATTGGAATTTCAGTTTCCTCTAAATAACGTTGAAACGAGCGGAATCGATAGAACGATAGCTGCGTAAACCAGCACAACATTCAAAAGTGTTTGCAGTTTCATTTTTGATTCGATATTTTGCTCGGTTTGACTCAACAACACTTCCATATCGCTTCCAACGTAGACAACACTCGATGCGTCCGCGTCCAAACTTCGATCCACAGCAATCAACCTCTTCAGTTCGTCCATCTCCTTCGATAACGACTTCTGTTGTTCATTCATCGATTGCACAATACGATCCGCCGACGCACTGTCGACCTTCGATTCCAGCTCCAACTTTTCACTTCCTTTGAAGTGCATCAACTCACGCACATCACCAATAAACGATGCTACCTGTAATGACTGTAATCGATAATTATGACTGAAAGAAGCATTCAATCTGATCGTATTCACTGTTACATCACAACAAAATTACCATGTAACATTGACCATAATAACATCAATTGTGCTGATAAAGATGCTTAGCAATGAAAAAATAATAACAACAATAATGATGAAGATAACAGTAACAATTGTAAAATGAATATCATACTTGCTCATGTTGCCTATCAACAACTGCAGCAATTTTATCAAGCATTGGTGAGAGTTGCGCTGCCGTTGGAACAAGCTCTTTGATTCGCCTCATTCGTAATTCTGCAGCTAATGTCGTTCCTATTATACCTAGCAAGGCACCGATCAGAGATGCAGATACTGACCAATATTTTGTTCGTTCGCCTCTAAATTACAATTTTCAATTAGAAAAAAAATTGAAAACTCAATATTATCATCAGTAGAAGAAATAACAACAACAAAGATATTGCTAATTAAAGATAATGTCAACAGTAATAATAACAGTACACTAATGCTAATAATAAGAGTAATAAAGAATAACAATGATTACAATAACAAAAAACCTTTCACGCTCTTTTTCGTGACTATGTCTCACTCGTGCTGAAAGAACTTGGAAAGCGTCGCGCTCTGAGGCTTCAGCTAACTCGAACTCTTCCATCAATTTACGCTCTTTCTTAATTGTTGCGTGCTCTTCCGTCAATAAATCCAAATACCTAAAATAGCAAATACCTCGCCAAACCATTAATCCTTTATGCGATGTCTTCTTTAACAATGACCCAGCAATCTCTTCTTTTCATAACACTTTGCCACTAAAACTTTCCGGACGCAAATCGTACAGTGAAAATATAAATAAGTTTTATCCAATTTCATAATGATTAATAGATGCCATAACATATAGAGCATAACTTTCTGATGATGATATGTCAACAACAAATGAAAAACCTGTCTTCGCCTCGAGACGTCCGGTCGAGTTCTGTATGAATATCTTTCAAACGTCCTTGCAAACTTTTAATTTCAGTTTGCTTATTTCGTCGTAACTTTTGTGCCACATGTAACGCATTTTCACACTGAATAAAACAAGTTGAGATTATAATATTTCGGAAGACACCTCCGTTTTAACGGTTCATTCATGATCGAATACAAAACAATGATAATGGTGATGACCACAACAGCAACATTAAAAGCACAATATGCTAACGATATAATCTCGATAAAGAATTTGTAATCAATCAATATCCTGATCAAAGGACATAAAGTTTGAAGAGTAAAGGTTTCGTATAATCATTCCATCAGACATCATTCACTTCGATAAGTTTCTCAAGCAATTCGAGATAAGATCACGATAAATCTGAATTCACTCACTTCAAGGACTTCTTCTTGAGCTTTTCGAACAGCTGTTAATCCGATCAGATCCTCGTAATACTGAACGGCTTTCTCAATTGGTTGAGCCAATGTATAGTTTCGACGCTGCAATCGAAACAACTGCAAGACGGCACGCTGTCTACCCAATGTGAATTGGGACAGCATTTTTTTCGCTCAAGAAGAGATAAATCTGCAACTTTAAAACATTTACGGTTTCTTACGCAAAGCGCATATTCACTGATTCGAACGATATCACAGAATAATCACGCACTTCATGTCCAATCAAACATATAATAATTAACATAACTTGATGATACTAATGATAATTTAGTTTAACCTAATCGTAATAACGACGATAACAAGTTGTTAATAAAAATGATAATCCAATTTCATCGAATGATAATGGTGACGATAACAGTCTGGATGAGAATCTAGATTATTTCATCTTATTTAATCATAATAACCATTAAATGATTTAACGACATTTCAGCATTACAGTGTTCATCGCATTCAACTAGTCCCAATCCGCTAGCCCTCTACCTTCAAGGAAACATCGTACGCCTATCTGTTCATGACTCATACTAAAAGAGCGAAATGAAACGATCAATTTAAAATCAT